CACTAATAGGAAAATAAATAGATAAAAGACAGAAATACCCATATGCTATAAACCAGTAAAGTTGGGGCTTATCACATTGGTTGTAGAGTATTTGTCATTGCAGCAATACAAGTACATGAAATGTCTCTCTACAACTTAAAACCATCGACACACCAAGTGGCTTAGTTATATTGGAGTTGTGAAGGATTAATATTATGTATACACAATACTGAAGACTTCTATAACTGTATTCTTTTCCTTTTACAAATTCATAATGAATCAATCTCTTTGTGAGTTTACTTCAAATCAAAATGTTGATATTCCGGTTTTTATCTTTGATTGGATAATGATTTACCATGCTTTAAACGGATCTTGATTCTTGATGAGCTGTCGCATGCCCACATAATCTTTTCAAAATACCTTTTTATCACATATTCCCTAAAATCCACATGTTTGTGCCTATTAACTACTGTTTGAAAAGTAAAATCTAAGCAATAGGCAGAAGGAAAACATAGAAATACTAAAATTTTGCATACTGAGTTAACTTTTCGGAGTGATGGTTTTTTTGTGCATTTCCATTTTGTTTTGAACATGACTACATGTTCATGAATTTAGAGACCATTTATGTATTATAATGAACTTGGTATATGATAGTAATGAAAAAGCATGTTTGTTTTTCATCATCATCATCAAATTGGGTGGTATCAAGTGTTTATGCTGATTGCTTTTGTGTTTCAGCAGGTGACTTGTTGATCTTATTGAATGTCTTACTAAATAAGAAGACTTTGCCAACAACATAATATGGCGAATTGGAGCCTCGACTAAAGGTTAGTACCCTTAAATGTTGTTCTTATATAAAATGTCTTTTGCCACTTTTTATTATTGTATGTTATCGGTGATACTAAAACATGTTTGTAGGATTTGTTAGTATGAAAATTATATATATTTGATACGCATAAAAATACACATTGAAGACCACCAATTCCCTTGTCATCTTTAGAAGGTCGAAAGTGGTCTTTATTATAAATCAACTTTTAGGATTATTCTTGATTTTACAAGGATCTAAGTACAAAGACACTATTCAAATTCTTGTTGGTTTGTTTGTAAGTTTAATCATAATGATATCAAAGAGATTCATAAAGTATACATATTGTTATATGCAACATAAGTATCAAATTTTAATTGTTATTCATCATCATCATCATCATCATCATCATCATCATCATGTAAAATTACTCTTATTTAACAAATAAGAAATGTATTTTCCATCTATTTAGATAACAAATACAATGATAGCCACGAGGTTTTTAAGTTGGAATCTTCAAACTTTGCAAGCCTTGCAATAACTAAAAGATATGGTATCGCAACATGACATTCAAATTGAAACACGTGGCCTTTGGAAGAGAAGATGTACTAAAATTGACACATGTATAATATTTGACCCTTAAAAAGTAGTTGTAGGGGGCATTTGTTAATTCAATCCATTTTCCCTTTTGAAGTTTCAGTTTTCTCCCTTTCTGGATTTCTGTATGCCGAATCACGCCATTGTTGTTTTTTGTACAACAAGCTCTTTTACGCCAACCATCTATTGCCTTCTACACTCTACAAAGCTTATTTTGATCGACGTCGCTTCTCTCTACTTTGGTTTTCTTTATAAGCTCAAAAAATGACATGGTATAGAAGGTCAAAACTAGGTTTTGATGCAATTTCTAGTTACTTCACCTTCAGATTAAAAACTCCCAAAAGCAGAATCCGAAACACAGGTTCTGTTATCAACCATAGAATCAATTGAGTAAGCTTACTTCTAGTGCATATTACCCTCTTAGGGTTTCGAAAATTTCTCTGTTTCCACCTGTACGTGTTGATAGAAGCTTAAACTCTCGATTATATGCAACTGGTAATAGATATTACTATGTTGATTCACGACAAGTTAGGCATTTCAAGCCTCGCGGATACAAAAGATGGTCTGATAACCCCAAGAACATTTTGATAGCTGTGTTAGTGGGATCTGGAATTGGGATAACCGTATATTTTGGGAATGTTGAGACGATTCCTTACACAAAACGGAGGCATCTTGTTTTGTTGTCGAAAAATTTGGAGAGAACGATTGGTGAGTCTCGGTTTAAGAACATGAAGGTCGGGTTCAAAGGAAAAATTCTACATGCGATGCACCCAGAAAGCGTTAGGGTGAGATTGATTTCAAAGGACATAATCGAAGCATTGCAAAGAGGATTGAAGAAAGAGCAAGGAAAAAAATGAGGTTCTTAATGATATGTGGGTGGATCAAAGTCGGAAGAAGGGGAAAGAAAAGGGGGGGAAATCGGCTAATGGTCATTTGGAGGGGTTAAATTGGGAAGTTTTGGTAGTGAATGACCACGTTGTAAATGCTTTTTGTTTGCCTGGTGGAAAGATTGTTGTATTTACAGGGTTATTAGAGCATTTTAGAACTGATGAAGAGATTGCCACCATTATTGGACATGAGGTATGTTTTTATTCACCTTTTCATATGAATTAAATTCATTCATATATGTATATACAGAATGTATATGACTATTTTTGTATTAAGAACTAGTATGATTATTTATATGTACTTTGTAATGATCATCATTTTTGTTTAATATTTGTTAAGAAATGACTTGATAGGATATGGTAAGAAATGAATAATGAGGTGGGAAGTAGTTAAAAGGATTAGTTGAATGCTATTTTTTGCATATAACATTTTTATTTATCAATCACACCCAAGAAAAAAAAAATGGATTTCTCCCATTTCATGATAATTTCCCCATATTTCTTTTCTCAACAAGATCTTGATCTAGGTTACTCACTTGACCATTGTCACTACAAATAAAGTCAAAGGGTTCTTTAGACATTTAGTTAATGGTCAAAAATGTATTTTGTCTTTTTGCTAAACATTAATATGGTTGTAGGTTGCACATGCTGTAGCAAGACATGCAGCTGAACAGATTACAAAGAACCTCTGGTTCACAATCGGGCAGTTAATTTTGTATCAATTTGTCATGCCAGATCTTGTAAACACCATGTCAAATCTTTTGCTTAAGCTTCCTTTCTCCAGGAGGTATGTTTTAAATTTATTTATCATGAGATCAGACTTGTTTTTTTTTTTTTTTCTTTACACAGCTATACATGACTGTTTCTTTTTGACCTAACGTGGGCATAATGACTTGAATATTGTTAAAACTAATAAATCTTGTGAAATTTGTTTTTGTTGAAATGTAAGGGTAAAATGGTCATTAGTCACTTCAAAATAATTTGTTATTTGGAGGTAGAAATTGTTGATTGAATCTTTGTATGTTGGATATATATAGGATGGAGATTGAGGCTGATTACATAGGGCTGCTGTTGATGGCTTCAGCTGGGTATGACCCGCGGGTCGCACCAAAGGTATTTGAGAAGTTGGGTCAAGTTTCAGGTGATTCGGCATTGCGAGATTACCTTTCTACCCATCCATCTGGAAAGAGGAGAAGCAAATTGCTATCTGAGGCAAGTGTAATATATCGAGAGGCCATGGTAGGTAGAGAGATTGATGGTTTTTTCCTATAGCCTATACATATTCTATTCAAACCAGAAACCATCACTCATAAATTTTTGAAAACATATAGAAAAACTAATAGAAACAAGAATAAATGGGGTGCTACAATAGAAAAAGACAAATAGTCTAATCCCAAAAGAATACAAGTTTGTAGATAAAATTTATCCATTATTTTCCAAGTCTTCCATGTCAATGAGTTAATACCACTATAGAGGTGACTGGTGTAAACCTAAAAGGTTTCATGATATCATGTGTCATGTTTGACAGAAAAATACAATTTATATTTTCATGTAATCAACTTTCTGTTTAAGTCAACACACATCTTATACACATTAAGGATCGTTGGTGTTGCAACTAAACGTATAAAATCCTTAAAGACATGAGTTCTAGCATGCAACAATAGTTTTATTTAAATGTAATTAATATACAATATGAAAATTTAGACTGAAAATTATACAACTTGTCTTCTATTGACGTGACTAATAAAGGACATATAATTAGATTTTGGACATAAATTTCCATCGACTTACAAGTCTTCCAATATTGTAGCTTTGTTTTTATTGTTTTATGACTAAATTACATTTTTTGTCCCTGTCTTTAGATGTTCTTTTTTGGATCAGGTCAAATAGGATTTTTTTTTTTTGCAATTTCGGTACTTATTAAAGTGTTTTATAACGTTTTTGGTCCCTGAATAATCAACTTTAACAGTGCACTGTTAAAATTTTAAAATGACCAATTTGCCCTAACTACGTTTGAATTTGTTATTAAATCTTCTTTAATGTCTTACCACCTCCGCCACTACTTCCTCCATCGTCACTAACTTAAAACAAGGGATATAATAAGAAAAAAGATAGAAAATACAATGCTGTGGTGGATGCTATAATACACATACATGAAAATAAGTTGTTTCACGTGACTGGATACCTCCATTCCAGTTGGCATCTCTTCGACTCTGTTCTTGCAATATTAGAAATGGATTTCCACAGTGGCTACGAAATCAAAGGAATCTTTGTGAATTGGATTTGTCTAAGGCTGCCTAGCCCATCATTCCTTTCCTAGATCTCTCTTACAACAATCTCAGCGGACCTTTGACAAATCTTCCTAATGGTTTGGATTTGTTTCTTCATTACTTGTAGGAAATAACTTTTTCAATGAGTCGATTTCAAGGTCATTATGCAGAAGGACAGATCTAGAATATCTTCATCTTTCCACAAATTCATTAACCGGCAAAATTCCCAAAGAATCTGAAAAGCTTAATTGGAAGCCATGATACTTAGCTCCAATCAGTTGTCCGATGTCATTCCGAGTTTTGTAGCTTCTAATTCTTTAATTTGGTTAAAACTGAATGACAACAGCTTTACTGGTGAATTGGGGAATTTAGGTATCTTAGATCCTCTGGAATGCAAGCACTTATAAATCGTTATTTTGCTTTCTGATACCACTACTGTGCTTTTTTGTAACTACTGTTTGGATTTTATGTTTGTAATATATTAGATAGGGACTTAATGAAATGCAAATTTAACTTTTTGTCCCACCAAAAAATATGAAATAAGGTGGGACCTTGGCCAACAAACCAACAAGAAAGGTCAGCAAACCTTTAAAGACATGTTATGATTCATATAGTGTAGACTTATAAGATCTAGGGGCATGTTATTTGGTCATGATATGATGCTTATGATGTTTAAATGAAAAAAATAATAATATGACCTTCTAGTATGTATACAATATGCATGTTCAGTATATTTTGCACGTGAAGATTATTATTGTATTTTGCAAAACCGTTGCTTTATTATCGTGTATGACTACGTTCTGTGGATAAAAAACTTGTAAATTTATCGGTATAAAGTTGACTGTGAATATGTACATCAAAAAGTGTTAAAAAGTTGAGCTTGAAGTGAGAAGGTGTAGAAATTTTTTAAGAGATAATGAATCACATTTAATGCTTCAAAAACTCCAATCTGGTTTAGTGTGCCACTGTTAATTGTTAAAATCTCTTTTTTTTTCTTCGCTATTTGAGTTTATTTTTTGTATAAATCAACAACTATTGGAAAGCAATCAGTTAATCACAACCTTTGCTTTGCGGCGTGACAACCGAGATGTTATCCCTTAAACTGGTCATCTTTGTTATTAAACCTAGTGTTTTATAAGTTCAGTGACTTAAATGACAAAAAAATAAGGTGTTTTATCAAAATTAAGAGAGATAATAAATTTGCTTTCTATATCATGGTATTTTACCAACATATTTTCAAGTATTCAAAAAAGGAAGAGTTAACTGCATTTTTGGTCCTTGTATTTAGCTGATTTTTTTTTATTAAAATCAGTTTTGTAAAACTCGTCGAGTTGGCCGATTACTCCTTCGAGTACTCGCTACTCAGCCACTTACCGATGTGAGTTATAGAATCTCGAGTACTCCCTGATCAGCTCTTACTGAACTGAGTAGTGTTGTAAAATGCGGTCAACTCAGTGATTAATATGTATAATATACTTAATGATTTATTGTTGAACACACACATGTGATTATTACTACATATATATCTTAAATTTTCAGTAATTATTCATGAAGTGTGATCATTATGTGTTTTTTAGCTTTTTTGTATTCACATGTATCTAATTTTATTATATATTTCAATCAACTTATGATTTTGACATATATAATTTCCCTAAAAATATTTCTACATGAATTACCGAATCCAAGTACTCCTGAGTATTCGCTACTCGGTAGTCGGTCGAAGAGGTATCGAGTAACGAGTTCTACAATATTGATCAAAATTAAAAACCAATTATTCCAAACCAAAAAAAAATAAATAAAAGAAGAGTAAATTATATTTTTGGTACTTGCCTTTAGCTGTTTTTTTTTTCTTAATGTTTTGGTTCTTATAGAAATTGGGTTGCAATTTTGGTCCTTATTTCACTATTTCATAACATTTTTTGTTCCAGCTCGTCAACTTTAACAACCCAACGATTAAATATATTAGAATGTCTATTTTACCCTTATCTTCTCCATTTCTTCATCGTTTTCATGTCCAGATAAAAAGAACCCTAAATCAATGCAAAATCCAAACATCAATCTTAGTATTCAAACAAAATTAAAAGTAAAATTAATACTCAAATGCCAAAAATAAAAAATACATCACTCCTCGAAACAAAATAATATAAATCCTTTAACATTCCAAACACAAGAAACACAGTAGGTTGATTTCAACATCATAGATGAAGAACTTGTAAAATGAACTTCAATTTTGAGGAAAAGAAACGTCTTGGTTAACTATGAAAGTCAAAAAAGAGTTGGTGTTATTCGCTTGATCCTATTGCTAAACCATATCTTTTCTGTTGGTTCATATGATCCTTTCAAAATATACCCATAATGGGTTTCGGAAGAACTTATATATATATATATATATATATATATATATATATATATATATATATATATATAGAGAGAGAGAGAGAGAGAGAGTTAGGTTCAAATGTTTTCACTATCTATTGTGTGCATGTATGACTGATTCTGGACCAATCATTTTAGTTATTTTAAGAAAGTAATTAATGCATATTAAATGTTGAAGATGTAATTAATATTCATTATATTTTCAACATGTAATATGCATTAATTACTTTCTTAAAATAACTAAAATGATTGGTCCAGAATCAATCATACATGCACACAATAGATAGTGAAAACAAAATAACCTAACCCTATATATATATATATATATATATATATATATATATATATATATATATATATATATATATATATATATGGTAGTTTTGAGGTTACACAAAAATAACATCACCTCAAGAATTCCTTGGTCGGTGTGCAAAGCTTCAAATCTACAAATTTTGGATGTTGCACAAACCAACTTAAAGGGAACCATCCAACTTTGTGTAAGAAAGTTTATTAGCATGGTTAATTAAAGTGACATTCTGTACTCTGCAAGTGAGTTTGTCAGACAATGATGAGAATGTTGAGGATTTCATGGAAGGTGTTGATCTTGAATATAAAGGAACTGGGTATATGGTTTTTAACATGAACCTTTCAAGCAATCGATTTGTTGGAGAAATACTGTTGAACCAATTTCACTTGCTAATAATCATCATCTGAGTGGGGGTATTCCAGACGACATTGGAAACATGATGAATTTATAATCTCTTGATTTATCTGGAAACAAGTTGACAGATGATCCCTCTGAGCATGGCGCAATTTGACATTTTTGAGCCATTTGAATTTGTCACACAACAATTTGTATCACTTAATAAGAAAAAATTCCTACTAAATATTATGGTGAATTGGAGCCTTGTCTAGGGAAGCGTTTCTAAAGGTTAGTTAGTACCCCTAAATGTTGTTCCTTAATAAAATGTACCATTTTTCATTTGAACAATGAAGATAAACTTTGTAAATATGAAATTGTATTATTGTGAATTAATGTTGATTAAAAGGGGTGTGTGTGTGTGTGTGTGTGTATATATATATATATATATATATATATATTCAAATGAGAACATTTTTGAAATTGAGAACAAATTTGAGCCAATCAAATTCATTAAAGCATGGGCGTCTTATTTTTATTCGTTCAGGGTAAGTAGTAATTTTGCATCTTATCTTGTTTCACCAATGGTTGTTGGGTAATTTGTGTTGTCTTGCACTAGCTCCACACATCAATATGTGAAGCAATCGCATCCCAACCTCCTGAGAATCGACGAGCACCACCGACTTCGGCGATTCAGACGGCACGTCAACAACTTCAAATCCAGATCCAGGTGTGGCTGATTTCATTCGTTTAATTCCGTTTCTAGACATGGGAGAATCCTTTTTCGTTGTGATATAAATTGCACCACATACAATCGCTCACAAATCATATGGATCATCATTGATCCTATGGAGAAAGATAAATACCTAATTGAATCTCAGCTTTAGCTAATTTGCACGTTGACGGTTTGCGCAAAGATGATTGTGTATTCCTGATGAGCGATTCACTTCTCTGCTATTATGAAATTCAAGGTCATCTTGTTTCATCATTAATGGCGTATTTTTGATTTCGTTTGTTGATTTATAACACATTCTCTTGGCATCTTCATCTTCATCTGTTTTTTTTTCGAAATTTTATATATTTGTTTAGTTTGAGAAAAATATTATTCATTTGATTTAACTGGTAATAGGATTTGGGCTATAACACTTGCATATCATCTGTCATAGTATCATTCCTTGTTCATATCATATTGATGTTTAAGAAATTTGTGTCTCACCTGGTGAAACAAATAGCAACCACCAGGTGTTTGACAAAATGTCACAAAGAAACTGTGACATCCTCATTTTCACGACCAGAAAAGACCGATTTGTTTATGCTTTATTTTGAAAATCAAAGTAACTTTTTTAAAGAAAAGAGTTGCGGAATTTGTTCCGAGAAAAACATGATAAATATATTATCAAAGTATTTCTGAAGAAATGAATTTTATTCATTTTTAAAACATTGGGATGTCATCGTCAATACAGAAACATAAGCATAAACAGACCTTACAATCATTCACACTAGTGATCTACATCTCCTTAGTCTCTCAGTGTAATGTAGCTTCGTATCCACACCTATGATACAAATAAACTGAGTGGTTAGCTTGGGAAACCTGGTGAGTACATTGGGTTTTCAACCCACAATAATATAATTATTATGTTTAATCATCAAACAATTAACCCAATTACCCATCCCCAATGTCTTCTTTATTCTTAAGGGTTTACCCTAAGAATCATTTATACTACATTCCTTCAATCTGAAGTCCATTGCTTCCAGGGTTTATACGACTGGCACTAAGTCCATAGTTGCCGATGCTCGTTCGTAAAGCACTAATTCCATAGCTGCTAAAGTTCATTCATCGGGTACTAAATCCATAGCTACCAGTGTTTATCTAATAGGTACTAAGTCCATAGCTACCAACGTTTATCTAACAGGTACTAAGTGATGGATTTAGCCATAAGAACATCATATGTGCTAATGCAAACCCTGATGCTTGGATCTAGGTTTCTCTATTGTACATGCAATTCATCCAAGACTTTAAACCCCATATCTAGCATGTGATAATCAATATTTGTGACATCCCCAAAATCACGGCCAGAAAAGACCAATTTTGTTTATGCTTTATAAAAATCAGAGTACTTCATTTTATAAAAAGGTTGCGGAATTTGTTCCCAGAAAAACATGGTAAATACGTTATTAATACATTTTCGAAGAAACGTATTTATTTCATTTTAAAACATTTGGGATGTCATCGTTAATACAGGAACATAAGCATAAACAGAACTTACAATTATTCACACTAGTGGTCTACATCTCTTTAAATCTCTCAGTGTAATGTCACTTCATATCAACACCTGTGGTATAAATAAACTGAGTGGGTCAGGTTGGGAAACCTGGTGAGCACATAGGGATTTCAATCTCACAATGTTATACCATATATATAGTTTAAAATTCACAAAATATA